TCCTGTTCATTTTTCTCATTTGTCGTCTCTTCTCCCCACTGTTCATATCCACGTGTCATCTCCTATCAGCTTTTTCTCGTATTTTGTCTTCTCTTGCTTAAAAAGATAGATAATATGATGGCGCTATCGTAGTATGTACTTAGGTTTGTCATATACACCACATCCACACCAACCTCATCATGCTGGCAGTTTTGTTCATAAGTGTGCAACCTCTAATTTCTATAGTTGAACTTATATTTTTGAATATTTGTCAATTGTAAAAGTCAAAGTGTTGTTTACGCACCTCTACAACACATACAACAGAGAAAATGAAGCAGACTAACTGAATTGAAAGAAATCACTGTTATGGAGCTGATAGTGAGCTATAATGGTATCACTTGCAATATAGCTATAGTGCCTCTTGTTTTTACAGCTGTCATGGCATTATGATATTAATAAAGTTAGGTCACACAGTGCAAGGCCTCTAGGCTGTGGTACACTATAGGATTGATTGATGGCTCTCTTGTCAGTTCAATCTACAAAATGCATTAGAAGAGAAGAAGGGACGAGTGTAGGGCAGAAGATGTGAGGGGGAGAAAGGGGAGAACAAAATTGATTGATTAGCAACAACGAAAATAAAAGAAAAAATGCAGTGAGGAAGAAAAGAAGGAAAATTTAAAATAATCTGCTAAAAAGGAAAATAAAAAATAGTTTTATATATAGCACAAGCTTATTTTATGTTATTTTGCTCAATTTATGTTACTTGATAAGAAAGGAAATGTGCGTTAGCAAGGATAACTGAAAGAGATAAGTGAAGGAGAGGTGAACAGGAGAATAATAAAAAAAAGAAAAGATTAAGCAACAATTTGTTTTTCTTTTGGCTTTTCTGTAGCAAAGGGCCTAGTGGGCGGACAGACAATATTTTGTCAGACTGCCGAGTTAGACTGATAACCTTGGATATCTCTGAGTGAAATGAGACATAAATACACTTGCAAGACAATGAGTGTGTCAGTGAAAGAGTGTAATGTGGGGTGTTCACAGGAAAATACACAGTGACAAATGGCACAGTCACAAAACTGACCACACGCAATTAAGCAGTGACATTATGCATCTGACTGCCACCTGTGGAATTTAAGAAAAAACAAAAACACATCTGACGTTCATTTTACCAAGTGACAGTGTGGCCCCAGTGAAACATGCAAAGATGATATATACACATCGACGAACAAGAATATCTATTGATTCCCATTCTTGATGCATGCATGGAGAAAAACGATAAGCACTCTTGGTCAGTACAGACTTCATTAAAGTTCAGTACACACATATCAGCACAGAGCTACACACGGTGTGCTATCGATTAAGTGTGGACTCTGAATTCAGAGATAAAATCATCAGCAGCCCATTTCTCTGTCCTATTCTACAGCGATGCTGTGCTATTGATTCATATGCATTGTGTCTGCACACACTGAACAGATGCACCCAAAAAGAGAAATAGCTGAAACTGCTGTGTCTGTTGCAGGAGATTTCTTTTCACTGTGAAAGGCAAAAAATATTGTAATCCATTAGCCCATTTGACGGATATTAAGCCCTCATTGCACTTGGCATTAATATGTGTTGCATACCCAAATTACGCTTGGATATAAATCAGTTGGGTTACATTTTGATAGAAGGTTGAATGCTTGTTTTTTTATGCACATCTAAAGTAGCCTCAGCTTTTCTTTTGCCAAAAAAAAGCAGATTGCAATATCTATCACATCCTTTCATCACCTCATTTAAATCTGGTATTCAAAAGTGTTTTTTTCTTCCTCCATTTAAACAAATATTGGCCTTAAAACTGACATGATTGCTACAGATGCTAATGGTAATGTTGATCTGCTCTTGACTCAGTCTTGGGCACAATTCTGCCTCATATTGATGTACTTCTGCTTTCTCTTGTCACAGTTTATTCATCCAGTATTTTTGTTAATTTAGTTGGAAAAGGGTTCCTGCCATGTAAAGGAAAGCACAGTAATACTGCCGTGTGATGACGCTATTAGATTATAGTTAATTAGAGTAAGATTTTGGATTAGATTAGTTAATATTGGTTTGGTTAAAAAGTTCTACTGATATCCTAAAATTCTGGCCAAGGGCTGAGGACTTTGGAAACACAATAGCTGTGTATGAGTTCAGGGGCTGCATCCTTCCGCATCCCGGCCCATGTAGACTGCGAAGGCCGGGTCCTCCGAAGACTGAGAAGGCTGGAAGTGCAAAGCTGTGAAATGGGATGGTCTAGCCTTCAGATTTGCGTCACAAGCAGTCTCGGTGGAATTTAATAAACTCAGCCGTCTGCTCCTTGCTATGTAAAGTATAACTGGACACTGGAGTAAATTCCCTACCATCCCACACTTCTGTTCAATCTGTTTTCTTTTTGACGTCTGTACAACTGTGTGAAAACTATAACTTTAATCTCAGCCACACCGATTTACTCAGGAACAAATAAAACACTGAAAAAAGCCAAACAATAACATTTTTAAGTTATCTAAGTGACTTATATATCATGTTTCATCTGATTAGCAAAAGACAGTCTGAAAACGATGTGCTGGGAGTCCGGTGTCCTCGCCAGCTCTCCGAAAACGTCGGAGCACTTTTCCAAATATGTGATGTCTTGATAATGTCTATTGTGTGTAAATGGTTTGGTCAAACCACTATAAAGGTTACCCTCCTGTGTCTTTGTGTTTAGGTCAGTTTGTAAGTTAGGTCGTGTCTACTTTGTGTGATTAGGTTTCTGGAAGTTACTTTTGAGTAGCGTTATATTTAGTTGACCTCTTTTATGGGCCCGATTATTATATTTAGAATTTTATCTCTTTAAACTTTTTGGGGTTAAAAAAAAACATTCTGAAGATATTTTTCCTGTGTCCTCTTTGTATTTGCTGCTTGGTACACTGGATACACTGGATTTAACTGAATCCAATAAAAAATACTATGTAATGAATAATTTAAATTAAAATTTATCTTATGCCTCATCTTATACTTAGTAATCTTCATCAGTTTGAGGGGCAAGACCATCTAAGAACTGGAGTTTAATCCTTAATGGAAAGAGGAAGAAAACAGTGCTGTTTCCCAAGACATCAAAGTAAATCTTCAGCCACAACATGTTGTTATTCTGACTCATAAATATTAAAGAGTCATTTTTTACATTATTACATTATTTTCAGTGCTAAAACTCATGGGTCAGACAGCCCTAGCCTTAAGGAGACAGAGGAGCTGAGGCCCCACTATCAATCCTCCTCAAGGTTAAGCTGTTAGCTTTAAAAGCTTGTTAATGTTTTTTTTTAGACTTCCATGGTGTTTATACACTGTCATGGCATGAATAACTCAAGCAGACCTTGGGGTTTGCCTCTTACGTATAAGAAACAGGACCCCTGTGGAGACACCAATCACAAGCTGATAGTTGTTTTAGACGCTCCTCTCCCCAAAATGAAACAATAAAACTTAGACAAGCAAAGCCTGCATTTCTTTTTTTCTTTTTTTTCTGCAGGCTAAGGCAAAAGTCAGCATTTTTTGTTTATCATCAAGGCTTGTTGGGTATCATCATGTGAGACTATATAGAGAAAAGGCATTGCAGGGGGGAAGAAAAATCAACAGTCACTGAGGTGTTAAGGTCATGCAGTCTCAGCAAATAAAGACTTAATGTGTGTTTGTGTGTGTATGTGTGTGTTTGTGTCGTGTGTACGTAAAGAGAGAGACTGATAAAGAGGAAGAGAGAGATGTGCAAAAGTGAGATAGGAGGTGAATTAGGGAGAAAGCATGAAGGAACCAAGAGGGAATCTGAGGTATAGCGAGTGGGGTAAAAGAGTGAAAGAGAGTTAGGGAGTCAGATGGACAGAGATAATAGTGCCTTGCAGCCAGTGTCCATATCTCTTGCCACCAATGACTCCAATTGCTGCACTACAACTAATGGACTCTGTCCTCCTCTACCATCTTATCTGCCCTCTCTCTCTTTCTCCAGCCTCCCTTCCTATCTCTCAGTACTCAATGCTGTGCTATCTTTCCACTTTACAGCTCCACCTCTATCTCATTTTTATCATGCTTTGGTCTTACTCTTTCTCTCTCCTGTTATCTCACTCTCAAAACTCTAAAATGCTTCCATTCTTCCTCTTTTTTGCTATCTTATGTTTTTTGTATTTTCTGTTCTTCCTTCCTCCAAAACGCTGAAAGTTTAGCCTCTCCTCTTCCTGTTGTTGCTTATGCTGCATACAGAGACATTTCTGAACAATTTGATGCCCTACACAACTTTTTAATGTAACACTTCCTAATAACGACTAAGACTTTCTTTTAGTCATTTCCAAGTTATCATTGAGTTTTATTATGATAAGGTCTAATGCTGGAGTTTTTTGTTGTTTTTTTTTATGTATCCACATCTCAGGGTAACTTATTTCTAGTTTTCTTTTTAATGAGCTGCAGTTATAATCAGTATGAGATTGGCCCGGATCTAGCGCCTGTGGATCAGCTCCAAAAACTCTTATTTTGGATGCAAAATGTAGAGCCCATTTATCTTATGCGTTGGCTAGATCTGACTGTATTTTAGTACACACCTGCAAATAAAAGACAAATCACAGTTATATGGTGTAATAGCTAATACCGATTGTACATTAACAGTGTTCCTCCAACTGGAGGCATCTGGTACAGGCTTACCTATGCCTTAAAATGGCCACAACACTGACTGAAAGGGAGAAATAAGATTCCATTAATTGCTTGTTTTTGAATTTGTTTCTTCACAGTCATAACATTTCTCCACATTTGTTTATCATCCTTGTATAACTAAATGAATACAAACATTCACAATAATAGACAACATATGTTCAGTATTTTACTAGGGCATCTACAGCTGACAAACAGGGATAATAAACCCTCTGCATTTCCATTTCTTAAAAAAAAAAGTCAGTGTATAGATATTCTTCAAATAAAATTGAAGAATGAGAGAAATTTCTCAAAAAAAATGTTACATCTTACATGTAACATTATATTTGTGTCTCCCTCAGATGACCCAGGAGCAGTATATCCTTGCAGCACAGCCCAACCCCCTCCACCAGAGAGGGGCTTCAGTTTGTGGTGCGCAGGTTTATCCAGCAGTGGGAATCTATGGCTGGAGAAAGAGATGCTTGTACTTTTTCATCCTCCTCCTCCTCGTCACCATGATTGTCAACCTGGCACTGACCATCTGGATTCTCAAAGTCATGAACTTCACTCCGGTAAGAAGCGCGTGTGTGTGTTTATATCATTAAAGTGCCAGGATGTTATATGGGCTTGTGTTTATGTGGGGGTTTATGTGAAAAATCTGAGAGAGTGCATTTAAAAGGGCTTCTGTAATGTAATGGAACATGGGAGTGATGATAATTTATGTGTGTGTGTGTGTGTGTGTGTGTGTGTGTGTGTGTGTGTGTGTGTGTGTGTGTGTGTGTGTGTGTGTGTGTGTGTGTTGGGGGGGAGGGTTCTTTCTTCAAATTAAATCTTAATTAGTTGTCTTCACTCTATATGAAGTTTGTTTAGTCAAACATATATTATTACGGTTACTGATTCCACTTCATTGTTGTTCACATGAACACATTGTTCATATCTTTGTCCACATCTCTTGGACCTAAGCAAATACCTGCATAGTGGCTGACATTGAAACTATAAACTCTAGATTCATGTTCACTGTGGGAGGACACAATAAAGTAATCCAGGAGAATCAACAAAGACATTGAAGGCTCAACCCCAAACCTGTTTTTCTTCATTGTGTATTCAGTATAGGTGGTATTAGACTTTGCTCCTCTGTTCCATCATCACTGTAATTTTAACTATGTCCTTATTTTTTGTGTGTTTTATTAATCCTGTTAATATATACACACCAAGGCTCATGTCCTGCTTTGTAAACACTTTCTAAGGCTTACATCATACACACATGCAATATCCATTATTGCCCCGGGGCCTAAGAAACTACACTGTGATAGTAGAATGTGAATGAGGCAGAATTTGACCCCTGTAAACCTCTAGTAAAGTCTTTCCACATAATGCCTTATGTTTCAGTAAGCAACTTCAGAATATTAAGATGGGAGAAAAAGGGTCCGAGAGGTGGATGGGTAAATGCCTCAGGGAAGACACAGCAAGCAAGAAGTATAAAAGAGATGAAGATATGGCATAGGCCATGCCGTTTGTGTGAAAATAACAGAGGCAGATACAAATATTTTTCACAGACAATCCTCAAAGAATTCTATATATCAAAATAAATACATTTATAGTCTTGTAAAAAAGTAGTTCGTTCAAACTGCCTGTTAGAGGTGTGACTGGTGTTATGTGATAGGTGGGTGCTAAGGAAGCTATTCAGTAAACTCGACTCAGGTGGTTAATTGTACTAAAAGCCATCTATGTTATGTATTGTTTATATGTGGCACCAATTATCAGCTATGTCTATGAATGATGCATATGATACACATGATGTTGTTTTTGCTGCTGCAGAAAGACAATAATTAATTTTTCTATTTTAAATGGACGATTCTTCAGGGCCTGGAAGCATGGCTATTTCAGTGTCTCATGGAGGGAGGTGGGTGGTGGATGAGCTGACATATAGTCTGACATTCAGTCACTGGTGCAAAAACTTGTTACCAAAGTATACACTAACACATTCCAGCCTGAAAGTAGTTCAGGTCAGATTTTAGCAAAAAGCAATAAGCAAAATGCTAAGTCAAGAAGACACAGACGTAATATTGGAAAGGAGTTACTTATATCTGTGATAGATAAATAAATCAGACATGGGTTTATCTAGCATCCAGACTAAAACATAGTGACTGTATACCACATTAGGATCTGTTTAAATAAATAACAGGAGATGGAGCAACACACCTTATACACAGTATTATATTATTTTATCTTTTTAAAACTGTCACAGTAAACATGAATCTCATGTCAGAAAGAAGACATATTAACGTGTTACTTGTTAACCCACTGCTGGCTGCTGCACGTTTCTTTCACAGAAAAGTAAGTTTAGTGAGTTTGTGATTGACCTATGGAGAAAGAGAAAGCAAGCAATGGTGGGAATTTACTCAGAAAAAAAAGGGTGGTAGCAACTGGAGCAGAGGAAAGTTACAATTAGCAATTTAGACTATGAAGTGCCAGTGTAATAGCTGCATGATTTCCCTGCCAGCTTTAAGCCTGCTTCTTCAGTTGGTTTAGAGATAGAGATCAACAGATGAGATCACAGTTGGAGCAGAGCAAAGTTATAGTTTAGACTGTGAAGTATTAGTATTGACTGCAGTTTTGAAGCAGAAGACCTCGGGCGCTTACTAATTTCCTCCAAAAAAAAAAAAACATTATAGTGCATAAAAGAGTGAACAGTGTAGAATTTCGCCTTCTAAAAATTCCAGGAGAGGATTGTTGCTCACTGGAGAAATCTGAATATTTTTTTGGAATTTCTTATGATTTACTAATTTCCCTTCTAACAGCCAGCTCTGAGTCTTCAGCTGGTTCAGAGATATGGATCGACTTATCTGAGAGTAGTTTGTTAGTTTATGAAATCAATGAATAATTGAAAAAATAAGCAGTAACATGGTCACGCAGCACCCTTTTTCTTGATGACTATAACTTGTTTACAGAAAAATGCAACCATCAAGTATATTGCTTAAAATGCGCAGTGCATGATTTAGACCTCAAATCATGGTGCGAATAGCTAAATAGAAAAAGACTGAATTTATAAGTGATGCAATTCTCCATCATAGTTCTTTGCTTATTTGAAGATGTGTATTTATATTTACTGGAGCACAGCTGTGTGACAAATTAAGTCTGCCAGCAGAGAAATTTGGCAATATGAGTTTTTAGTAATTTAGCTGCAATCTGGCACAAAGTGTACTTTAAAAAGTGTTCATGCTGTGCTTACCAGGGAGCCTCCATTGTATTCCAAAAAAAAGCTGCATGTAGTGCAGTTACTGTATTAGTGAGCAATTCAAATACAATGGCTTTAAAAATTCCATTAAAATCAAATGTTTGCGATAAATTATTGAAACTTTGCTAAAGAAGTAAAAAAACAACAACACTATTTTCATCATGTAAATAACGTGCCTGTACTGTATCATTGTAATCACAGCAAAGTAAGTTCAGAGGTAGCTAATATATACCATTCAGCCACAACTTTGAAATCACTGGTTTATTCTTACATAGGTCCCCTTTGTGACAAAGGTCACAAAGGGGCTCTGCAGGTATCTTGTGGTATCTGTCAGTGGATGTTAGCAGAAGATTCTCTGGGGTGTATTATGTTGACTGATTTTGCAAGCACAGTTATCTGCTATTATTTTATAAGGCATATGCCATAAGAATAGAAACTCTTTAACTTACAAGCTCAGAAACACCAATGCACAACTAAATTTCCCTTCATAATTCCTAAATTTCTCTTCCAAATTTGGCTAGTGGGAGTTGGCATCATGTGTGGCCCAGTGATTGTCATTTTCATCATCACAATTCAAATCACATCTAGCTGGCCACAGTATAATGATGGCCTTTCTCAAACTTGTTGTTTTGTTTGGAGCTGCCAGATGTGATTGCCATTGTGATGTTTTGGGAAGAGAAAAAAAAAAGAGATTTGCTTTTGAAGAGACAGCTTTGGCAGTAAATTGGAGAGCAGGGACTGGTGGGGATATAAGTTTATATGTGTGTGTGTGTTTGTATTTGTTCAAGAGAAAGAGAACAAGAGAGAAAGCGAAGCTGAGGGAGAAAGAATATGTGCGTGTATTTGTGTGTGTGCCAGCAATTATTCAGCAATTGTTCATGCTGACGTGTGTATATGTCTGACGTGTGTGTGCCTTTTCATGCCTGTGTGTACCGATACTCACATGTGATTGTGTTTATGTTCTCCCCTGAGTCCTTTGGGCCTTCACAGCAGAGAAATTCAATTTCAGTTGTCACTCACCAATCAGCCTGCCTAATTCCTGTCTGGACTTGAGCGTGGTGTGTTTGTGTGCATGTGTGTGTCTTAGAGTGTGCACTGTGTAGAGTGAGTGTTTTCTTTTTTACCTGCTTATTCTTTTTGGCTAAGCATAATGTAATTTGTAATGTGCTGCCTTGTGTGCTTCCATAATGACCTCTTTTAATATGTGCGTAAATTATTAAAATACTTCTGCTACAACATTAAGCCATAAACCAGATGCGATTTTACAACACTGAGAATTGCATTTCAACTTTGGCCTTACAAAACCATTGTCCAGTTTTGCTAAGTGTGTATGTTAAAACAGCAGAATTCGTTTTTATAGTGTGGTTGAAACTCCTGAGTTGAAACATTTATGTGTAACTTTGTGCAGAAGCTTTATTCTTTCACCACACCGAAGCGATAAATAGTCTATGAATAACTATAAAACTGTCAGAGGTCTGCAGTGTGTTTCAGCATTCACACACACACACACACTCACACACACACACACACACACACACACACACACACACACACACACACACACAGCTTTTATGCTGATAAAAATTTTACTGGCAGTGAGTGCAGTGGGCTTTTATTGTTTTTAAGTCCTGATTGGCTGCCAATCAGTGGGGTCATAAAATAAAATCGTATTCTTGTGGTACTTCTCAGATCAGTGTCACAAAAGGTTTTAAAACAACAATTGGAAAATCTATAAAAATCGCCATCATTAATTAGCAATGTGGTTATAGCTACATAAATAGTTTGAAACAAAAAAATACGACAGGGTATAAAAGAGGCCAAAACAATTCTAGCTCATGTATCTCATAAAACTAAGGGAACAGACAGACAAAGGCAGCAATGACTACAGGTCAGGGTCATCAGCTTTGATTGTCGTATTCTGGGCTGACGTGACTCCCGTTAATGGCTTAATTTTGCTGTAAACTCAGCCAATTTACTTTAACCCCCTGAAACCCACCAAGATCCCAGCCAGGCACTCCACATTTCTCCTTAAAGGCCTGTGACTGAAAGTTTCTAATACTGTCTTTTGGATAAAAGCATTTTTGTACATACTATATTTTAACATACTTGAATATCAATACTTAGCAATGAATCAGGAATTTAAAAATGGGCCTGTGTCAATAAGATATTTTGCAGTAATTTATATTTTTACCTCCTAGTCACCACAAATGCTCTGGGTGGCATTCATCTGAATTAATTACTCCTCTGCTTACCTTTATTATTACCATGCACAGTGCAGAGTGTAAATGTTTATTTACTCTTTGATGATGGTGATACTGAGTTGAGTTGTTGAGG